ATATTAAAAAGATTAAAGCGGATGTCAGAAAAGACTCTGAACTTGCTCTTGATAACTAAAGCAAATGGAAGAAATGATAAAATAGAAGAGTTAAACAAGAAATTTTAAAGGGTAACTCAACAAGACAAAGTAAAGTATTATCATGAAATGTGCAAAGACCTGTAGGCAGAAAACCAAAAAGGGAAGGACATGCTCAGAATATATCAAGCTGAAAGAACTGAAGACAAAAATCCATGCCTCGGGTTGCAATATTACAATATTCTATGAGCAAGATATTAAATAAGCAGGAAGCATCAAAAGAAGATGGAATAACTAGTCAACATTTAAACACTTCACGAGACACCACATGAACAAGAATCCATGGCACGCAGACGGAAGAGGGCCAAGCTACACTAAAGGGATTAGCCAAAAACAAGGCTCCAGGAATGGCTGGAATGCCAACTGAAGTGTTGCAACAAGTTGATGAAACATTGGAAGCACTCGCTTGTCTGTGCCATGACATTTAGAACACAGACTGGAAAAATCCACAGTTGTACCCTTTCAAAGAAAGGTGACCCGCAGATTGCAGAAACTATCAACAATATAATTAATATCACATGCAAGTAAACATTAGCTAAAGATCACTCAACAGTTGCAGCCGTACATTGACAGGAAGCTGCCAGAAATTCAAACTGGATTCAGAAGAGTACTTGAAGCAAGGGATATCACTGCTGATGTCAGATGGATCTTGGCTCAAAGCAGAGGTTACCAGAAAAGGTTTACTTGTGGTTTACTGATTATGCAAAGGCATTCAGCTATGTGGCCCATAACAAACTATGGATAGTCTTGAGAGCTGTAGATTGCCCATCTGTTTTTGGAAACCAGTTGGTGGTTCCTCAAAAAGTTAAAGATGTACCACTTGACCCAGCAATTGCAACGCTAGGTTTATATGCAAAAAAGGTGAAAGTAACAATGTAAACAGACATTAGATCACCAATGTTCATTGACAAAAGCTGGAAACAACCCAAATGTCCATCGACAGAAGAATGGACACACAATGTCTTCTGACATGGATTAATCTTGAAAACTTTGTGCTCAGTGAAATCATAGAGGCACAAAAGGATAAATATGATTCCACTTCAATGAAATACCTATGCACAGAGATGGAAGTTTATTAGTGGTTACTGGGAGCAGTGGAAGGGAGAAATAAGGAGTTACTACTTACAAGCTACTGTATGTTAAGGGTAATGAAAACAATTTTGAATTGGCAGTGGTGACAGCTGCACAACAGGATAAGTGTAATTAAGGTCACTGAAATGTACAAATAATGGTTGAAATGGCAAATGTTTTACTTAACAGTAAAAATTTTTAAAGGGTAAAGTGAAATACATTGTAGTGAAAATCTACAAACCAAAATATATGCAACAATATGAATGAATCTTACCAAACATAATGTTGGATAAAGTCAGACAGATAATTCATAATACATTATTTGTTTAGAATCAGTATTTTAACAGAAGAAACAAACAATTCTGAAGTGTTCAAGAATGTACGCGTAGGCGATAGCTATGAGGCTGAGAAGCTGTGACCAGAAGGAAGGAACACTTAAGAGAGTTTGGGGGTAGAACCAGCCAGTGTTTCATTTTTTGACCTGAGTGTAGGTTTTATAGATTTGCATCAAAGTAACATATTAAGCTATTCTCGTACATTTTATGAACTTTTCTGTATGTCTGCTTTAGTTCAATCAAAATGGCTTAAGACAATGACATTTAACAGCTTACCCAGAGACGAGCATCTTCCCATCATGAGAAAAAGCACACGCCAAAACAGGAGCACAATGCCCACTCAAGGTACTCTTGTATTTTATTCCCAAACCTGCAATGATTTGGGAAGATGTCCATTTGAATCTTGTTAGAAATTTGTTGTTGTTAACCCTGACCTCAAATTCATTTTTCCATGGCACACAAAGTTCTTTGATTTGCTTTTAAAGCAATTGTAACAAGACTTAGACAAGCATTACTGAGAGAATTTGTCTGTAGCCATCTACTGATCACAGGTACATCAATAAAATTTTAACACATTTTGTTTGGAATAAACCGATGCATGTACAAATTAAACCCCAGTAGCATTATTTTTTCCCTTACCATGGTACAACTAATTTAATGGTAAGTTGAGGGAGTTCAAAATATTTTCGTGGCAACCTGTACAAATAATTATTAAAATGTTTATGTGGAAGTAGATGAGATAAAGTGGTAAACAGGTGAAATTTGTAACTTTGTTACACACAACAAAAGGTTTCTGAAGTGTTAGTGGCTACTGATGAAATTAGGAAGCATGTAATGAAACAAAAAGTTCATCAGAGCTGAGATTTAAACATTTCAGCCTAAATACACACACACACACACACACACACACACACACACTTTAATCTGGAGAGCATATATGGGCTGCTAGAAATACAGTGATGAACTTCAAAAGGCTTACAATCTAACATACAGATCAATATAAAGGCACAGTAACTCAGTCTTCTCTTAAAAGACACTAAGTGAACAAGGCAAAAACCTTATAGAGCTGGAAGCTAAATGACCGATAAACTTCCCATACGAAAAAACAAAACAAAAAACCCTTGCCATATGACCATAACAGGTTACACTCGCAAGTTAAGACAGGCATATCTACTCATTACAAATAAGCCTTAATAATAAAGTACAAATGGCAAATGCTCCATGAAATTGCTATGCCTTTTTTAAAGAAGCAGTGTAAAAAATGTAAATTTGAATAACTATAGATACATATTTTGTATTTAGGATATTTACAAATATAATTGTTCATAGTGTCTTATTGGAAGAGTTTCGCTCTGAGAGGAGAAGAGGAGGCGTAATGAACGGGAACAGGAAAGGAACTCTTATCTTCACAAGCACGCCACTTCATACAAGTGCAAGCATGGAAGCAACAACTAAATCAAGTTCTACCACACAACATTCTTTATTTCCTGGACCCTTCTTTATATACTGCTATAATTATGAATAACAAAAATGTAGCTTATGATTTAACTGAATCTTAATAGGTAAGAAATAAAATATTTTGGGGGGCATCTGAATCAGGGCACCCAATTTACCACATAATTTCAGAAAAGGTACATCAATCAAGTGAATGGAGAAAGGCACCAACAAACCAGAAATTGAAAGCAATTTTGTGAAAACAGAAAGCAGGAATCACAGCTCAGAGAGTTTGCTACAGCCAAGAATGGTAATCTGCCCTAGAAAACCCCAAATTGACTTAGGCCTATCAACAGCCAGAGAAAAAGCTAGTCAGAATGACATGAGATACAGACCTGAGAACAGAAAAAGTGATTGAAATTTAAATATGGGACATTTAATGTCTTCTAATCCCTCCCACTTCCCATTCACAATAAACCACAACAGCTATGTGCTTATCCCAGACACAACATTTCTAAGACAAATAACTGCCTGGGAACACCAGATGGACAGACTCTCTAAACCCCCTATCCTTCTCTACAGCCCACATAAGGACTGATTACTGGCTTCTTCCTCCTAACTGGCCAATAACAAACTTTGCACAGAGCCTCTAGATAATCTTATTATTGTGGAATCCTTAAATATCATCAGGATACTACGGATCATGGATAATATGTGAGAGAAAAATCAGGGTGTATCATAAAAGGGCCCAAGAACAAAGATGATACAAAAACAAAGGAATTAGACACATGCCATGTGTGGGCACATGCATGAAACCTGGTATACTAAGAGATTTGGGAAGATTTTTGTATTCATAATATAAAAGAGACACTATGGGAAAGAAACAAAAAGAATGATAAGCTTTTAGAAACTGGATTTATGTCTGATGGAATAAAAATTCGGAAGAAGATTAAAAGATAAATTTGAACAAACTGTTCATAATAGAAAAATTGTTATGGGCAAAAATGGGCACAGGAGGTTAATTCAAGTATTACAACACTCACCTAGTGGTAGTAATAAAAAAGGCGGAAAGTGAAAATGAAGAAAATATTTTAACAATAACGTAAAGGAATTCCAAAATCAAATGCCACCTGCCCCTGAAAGGGTCACCCGATGGGACCTGACAGTGCCTGGGGAAGGCTACACCTCCCACTGTTTTTCTCGTGGTATAAGTGATATTTATAGAAACTGTAAAAACTGTCGTGTTAAAACAGAAACATCCAGTATCAACATTATGTGTGTGTACAAGGAGCGTCAAAGGGTTTGAAGGAAAATGGAAGTAAAAGACAATGGAGCTTTCATGAAAACTTTTTAAAAAAATATTTCTACAATCTCTTTCTGATATTCAGAGTAAATAAAACGATAAATTAACATACAGAGTTTCTAGCTGAATCACAGCACACATTGTTGAATACATACCTAAGATATGGGTAAAAGAAACAATCCAAAATTTGATGTGGCAATCCTGACCACAAGATGCCAGTCGAAAAACCTCAAGGCCTGGTTCTCCATCTAACAAATACAGATTTGTTAAAAATAACTGGTCATTTAAGGAAAAATGCAAATTGTAATACTGAGCTATGTTCATTCTATTCACTAAAACTATATCACAAGCAATATTCATTCATTTATACCATTATGACAAAATTTCAGTGAAAGAATTCCTGTTAAGTTATTTTAAGGTATTATGACATGTCTGTTAATCACTTCCAATGTAACTTTTTAAAGGTTGTATCAATTTCTTTAAAGCGTACTCTATAATTCATATGGAATAATAAAGGTTTTCATTTTATGTAATTAAGACAAAGTCTAGAATTCTATAAATCCAAAATAACATCAATTCATCCCATTTGGTAAAAAAATATTATAGAAATTGGAGAAAGTGATCAGCTAATTTGGTCTTACATAGTCACTAGTTTATGCTTACTTAATTTCAGGGCATATGTCCACTATGTAAGTTCCTAAACACTGTAGGAAATGTTTGTACACTAATATAATTAAGTTTACATGAGCTCCATTTTCTACTACTGATGCAACCTTATTAACTGGAGGAGTTCTAGCAGTCATACGCAGGAAGGCACATTAATTAAGAAGCTTAGTAAATTCACTTTAAAACTGGAGCCTAGTTTTGCAAATGTCACTATTTAGAACTTTAATTTATATAGCTGTGTATGAAACGTTTTTCCTATGAATTCCTGTCTTATTTAAAGCACACATGCTTCATTATACTATTACCTCCCATTATCAATTAACTCCCATTTCATGTGAAGTTTTTCTAACACGTGGAACTCTTGCACACTTAAGAGCATTTTTGTTTCCTTAGAACACATTCAGCAAAGGTGCATCCTTACTAGCAGGGTCATGATGAATATAAATAAGTCTACCTTATGGATTGCCTCATATTTCTATTACGGAGCATCTGGTGGGTTTGAACTGCTGACCTTGTGATCAGCATCCTAACACATTGCAGCTTCACCAGGGCTCCTTACACCGCTTACACAAGTCTCCAGCAGGCAGTCACATGTACTATAACTGGGACAGCAGCTTCCCAAGAATACTGAGATGTTGAAAATGTTAGTGTGTACAATACATAGCGCATGGGTAATGAAAGATTTAGTGAGAATTCAGGTAAGACAACAGTAAATGATGGAGCTTAAAGTATGTGCCTATGCTTAGTAACCAAATATTTAGAAATGTTTTTTTCCTTTAGAAAAAAAATATTTAAAATGTAATCATCACATAGACCAAGTGTTTTGTATATGTCTTAAAAACTGGAGAAAATTGAACATATTTCCTTGAGGGAAAACAAGAATATTTTTCCTTATTTGAGCAAAATATCACTAAACAAAGAAAATTCAGTATGTTTTAAGTATTTACAGATATTAACAAATATCAAATTAAATACCAAATAAAATAGTAATTAAAATTATAATAAGAAAACACAATAGTTAACCACAAACTTGTATAAAAATCACTTTTAAGCAAATTTCTATTTGTTTCAGGAAATTTATTTATATAGAAGGATAGTATCTATCTGCCATTAAATTGATTGCAGCTCACAAGGACTCGCGACAGGATTTGAGGCCACAAGCGTTTATGAGGGCAGAGCGCCTCGTCTTTCTCCCTCGGAGCGCTGATGGCTGCTTTTGCAACCACCAGGCCAGTGCTTACCAACAGTGAAAAGAAAATGTACTCTAAAGCAGGGCAAGGAATTCACTGCCTGGATTTATTAACCTTTGCAGGTCTCATCAGAGGCCCAACCTTCTAATGGCATAATGAAGAGGGCTTTAGTTTAATACTAATTGATGTAGCAATGACATTTTGACTGATAGTCTATTTTCAGAGGCTTTAGAATTTAAAAAACTCCAATCACCCTATATTTATGAAATTCACCAAAGGCTCACTAAGTGCCTCTCAGGTACATGAATGGAAGAGAAAGGGTTCTGTATCAGTCTTGACAGAATAAAATTACAAAATATATATTGAAAGAATTATTTAACCAAATTTGGCAGAGTTTAAATATGTGTACCCACTCGCTCACTTGCTACAAGATAGTGAAAGGTTAAAAAGCATATGCAAACAAGCAAAAAACTTCAGCACACCAACAACAGGCATCTTAATTCATCAATTATTGTCAAGGTATAAAAGCTTACAATGAAATGAATGACGCCAATAGTGATTTGTGATGAGGCAAGGAAACAGATCATATAAGGTAATTCTAGGGTTTGTTTTTGGATTTGCGGTTCTACCTGTGCCTCATCTTAATAAGCCAATGATGAGATTGTAATACTAAAGTGCCCAAACCATAACCCTAGTGTTGGGACCTGTGCATTCCAATAAGGTAGTGACTAGCCATAGATAGCTATTGAATCAATGTTTCTAAAAGTGGGCAAGACCACCCCCTGAGGGGTGCTGTGATGATCCAGGGGGGCTGAAAAAAGAGATACAGACACATTATCCTGGGAGAGGTTACTCATTGGTCTGCTAATTGCAAAGTCAGCAGTTTGAAACAACCAGATGCTTCAGGAGAGAAAGATGAGGCTTTTTACTTTCATAAAGAGTTACAGTCTCAGAAACTAACAGGGGCAGGTCTACCCTGTGCTACAGGTTTTGCGTAAGTTGACATAGACTCAGTGGCAGTGTATGGGCCATAGTGCAAAAAGAGTTTTAGTGCCGGGAAACACAGAGTAATTTTTTTCTGAAGAGAGGGCAGTAGCCCCATGTGTTTGGGAACCTATGTGTTAAACAGCTGAATGTGGCTAGTCCAAATTTAAACGTGCCACCATATGCACATTGATATCAAAGGCAATAAAAAAATTAAAGCATTTTATTAACCATCTTATATTACCTCATTTTGAAATGATAGATTTTCAGATATTTTGATTAAAATATTGTTAAAATTAACTTCATTGACTACTAGACATTTTCAAATTTATAATTTGCTTCCTAGGACAATTTAAATGTGTACATGTGGTTGCTTTAAACTGTAATGAGATAACAACTAGTCAGAACTCCACCACCCACCCACTGCCATCGAGTCAATTCCAACTCACAGCAACCCTGAAAAGGGTGTTTCTGCGGCTAAACATCTTTATGGGAGCAGATAACTTCAACTTTCTCCCAGGGAGCAGCCAGTGGATTTAAACCCACAATCTTGCAGTTAGCAGTTCAATGTTACCCATCAGGGCCACTGGAGGGGGCTAGCAGACAACTTCAATACATTGTACCTTTTTAAAACCAGAAAATGCAAATTCAAGATTCTGTTTCTCCCTCCTTCTTAAAAAATGAAGTGTGTCGCCCAACATAATACTTTATAAATTTAGCTTATGTGAGGTTGAATTAGTAAGTGGAAAAATGTAGCTTTTGTCTGTAAATTGATTTAACACTTCCATTTGAATGCCAATATGGCATATTAAAATCATAACCAACTCCTAAGTAAAACCACGGGGGTAAGTTCTCCACATGCCCTTATTGAAAGCCTATACTTACAGTATAAAGCGAGTCATCCCCCAAATATAAAAAGGAACCTGACTTTCCCAGACATATTGTTCCTTCATGATGGAAATGTAGTCAAAAAAGAGGAAAAGGATGTTTCCTTTATAAGATTGAATTAAAAGGACTCCTAATGATGAAATAAAAATGAATAAAAGAGCTAAAAATTTGCAAATTATGACCAGGAATTACTAGAGCTTAAAATAGTAAAATAACTAACCAGAAACAGGCTGTGATGAAAAATCGCAGCAGGTAATTCCAAGATCGTGTGCTTTTTCACTGTGCAGACACCTCATTTTATCATCCCACACTGTGAGATCTCCACATGAGGAGCCGGTGACAAAGAGGTTTCCACCAGGAGAAAACGCACAGGCCACCAAGGAGCCATCCTTAACACGACCACATCTGAAACAAAGCAAAAAGGGTTGTCATTTTAGAGCGTTTATTTTATAGGCAGTATAAGTAGATGCATATAGAAAAAGAAAAAGGTAAGTAGCTATCATAGATAAGCTAGATAAAGTGAGAAGTGCCTATAGGAATAAAATATCGTTTAAAAAAAGGCTATAAACTAAGGGATGCTATCCAAAAATAGGGGGGTTAAATGTACTCAAAGCTAAACGGTTGATGTCTAAGCCAAAGTTTACATAGCTTCAGATTCATATACATGGCACATCAGTATAAAATTTTAACAATAAAGTCATTGTAATAATAGAAACTATATACATATGCTAAAAAAATTAAAATATTTTTATTGAAAAATATACCTGGGGGGTAAAAAGTACTTTCAATACTTGCGTTAAAACCACCAGAAAAAAAACAAACCACCAGGAAGCAACACACCTCACACCTCATGGTTAAGTAAAAACACTTTATAAAAAGAAAATTATAACAATTTAAAAGGTGACAATATATATTTTTTTTAATTAGGAAAAAAACACTAAAATTTCCACAATTAGTGAAGGGTACAAAATTGATGGTAATGTAACATTTTACATCTGTATATTACACAATATAAATTATGGAAGGTATTATAGTGGTTATAATTTGAGATGCTAATTGCAGGGTCAGCAGTTCAAAACCATCAACCACTCCTCGGGAGAAAGAAGGGGTGGTTTTCGACTCCTATAAAGAGTCACACTTGTGGAAACTCACAGGGTCTGAGTCAGCATGCACTCAATGGCACTAACTTTCTTTGGTTTGGTTTATGCTATAGCAAGGAGTCCCTGGGTGGTACAAATGGCTAAAGGGATCCAAGTCCATCCAGAGGTTCTTGGAAGAAAGGCCTGGCAATCTAAAAAAAAATCAGCCACTAAAAACCCTGTGGAACATAATTTGACTGCCACAACAGGTCACTGATGAGTTAGAATCAATTTGACAGTGACCTGTTTTATGCTATAGAAATCATTAACTGATAAATGTTTCCTTACCTGAGAGGTGAAATAAGATTCCCTAGCTGACAGCTACATTTCATTCATTTAAAATAACTTAGAAGGCTCCTAGTCTTTATGTGGTTTGTCCCGTTTAAGTGAAGTGTTTCTGACCACCACTTAAAACACATCACATTCCTCAACCTAAAGACCTAGACCTGAGTGATCAGTTCCTGACCCATTTTTTGGGAAAAGGAGATTGACTATTTTAACTTTAATGTTGATAAACCGCAATATAACTTACTAGTGTAATTAATTGATGTATCTTTAATTTTTAAAGTTTCTGAAGCTTTTCTTTTTGTTTTGTTTTTAATCATTTTATTGGGGGCTCGTACAACTCTTATCACAATCCATACATACAACCATTGTCAAGCACATTTGTACATTTGTTGCCATTATCATTCTCAAAACATTTTCTTTCTACTTGAGCTTTTTTGCTTTTTAAAGAAATGATAACAGTGCACCAATATACTCTTCATGGAATTCTTTCTTTGGGGCTTAGTCATTCATCCAGCAAAAATCCTACCAAGAAATATCTATCTATACAGGCATGACTATATAGGGTACGTCCCTTTATTAAAAAATGTCGAGTATATCTATATCCTCATATAGGTAAGATAAAGGATATATAGGAAAGCATCGATCTCTCTTAGAGGATCTAGGTATGATCCTATATGCAAGCAGTTTTCAGAAGTTTGTGGGAAAATAGAATTAAAAGATACTATAACTTTTTCATTAACTTTTAAATTCAGAAATTCCAAGAGTCCACAGAAAGCTTCTAAGGCTCATAGAGGCATTCTACAATGTTTCCATATATTAGCAATGAGCTATTTCTTAAAAATAATTAAGAAAATACTTCCATTTACATTTAAAATAAAACACGATACTACCTTTTTTGTTTGGCTGAAGTTTTAATTTTTTTTCTTTGAGAGTTGTTTTTGTGGTTTTCTTTGCAAATTCAAAACAGTGTGTTATATTTTGTTAATGGCTAGCTAGATATCTTCTCCATTCAAGTATGCATTGTCTACTGGTTTTGGTGTTTCTTAAATATTCATTGCAGAATGTCATCTATGGTTTCTTGTTTTGATTTGTTTAGTTCTTTTAGTGTTATTTACACAGTACTTTTTCTCCATAATCATTGTCTCTGATAATTTTAGGGTTCAATCTCTTGTGGCTCAATATTCTTTGTCCATAGCTTTCTTTTAATATTTTTGTAAGCTTGGTCATATTTTTATAAATTCCTTTTATTTTTCCATATTTGTAAATGATTTTATTTCTG